AAGATATTTTGAATCCAAAAAGATAACATTTTGATTTGGGCAGGAGTCGTCAGATCTTGCCCAGGCAATAGAGCGATCGACACTCGCTCGCAAGCCTTCCTCTTACCCCCCCTACCCCCCCCCCCCACCCCCTCTTCGGATCCACGTGCTTTAAGTGCTTTTTCTAATTGAGCTGTCGGCTGAAGCTCCAAAAATCCAAGAACAGATCGGTGCTGATCTACTTGGTATAGAAATAATTATTAGTAAAGCCCGTGAAACATAAAGCAGATGCAGCCATTTGCTTTGTCAGAATAATACACATAGTTTAATCTGCTACATGGCCTTGGTCAGTTACATGCATCAGATGAGGTTAACCGCTATTCAAATATACCATTCATAAACTAAATTTAACTTATATACACTAATTGTGCAAAAATCTTCAAACTATCATTACATTTAAACATATCGTAACAGCTAACAAGCCTTATTTTCAGGTTACTAATCTTACTTTTCATAGACAGTTTACTTCTTTGCGGACTCTCCAAATATATTGCCGCGCGTGTCGGATCCTTCAAAAATGCACTACTTTTAGAAGATCGGACACGTGTTCGCTGGCATTTTTGAAGAATCCGAGCAATATAGCCTGATAGTGAAGGGCTGACTAAGATGAGAAATTGCTATTTAGCTCCCAACTGTCAGGTGGATTATATGGCAAAGGGACTCTTTATTTTTTTATAGGGCATGGCTTATTGCACTAAGTTGACAACAATAATAATTTTGTCATATCTGCTATCAGCTAGCAATTGGCAGCACTGCCTCCAAAATAATCTTCTTTGGGTATATAGCAACCATCCATGAGTTAAAAACTTACTGAAACTCGATTTCTTCTCATCTGCCTAAACCTTTGTGGGAAGAGTTATCCGGTAACTGTGCTGGTGGAAGGCAAGCAAATACCTGGTGGAATAGTCAAAAATGAGAGGATGTTGGCTGCGACACCATCATCATCAAGATAATATATTTAAAAAAACCTACTGAAACTCAAACTCAAAATTGGATTTATCATACATAAGGTGTGGAGAACTGATTTTAAAAGAAGCATTCATAAGGTGTAATCTGCTCCGGTGTATAAGTCATCCCGCGTTCACGCGGGATCCAAGGGAGGGCCGCACCCCAATGGGTGTGATGTAGACAGTTTACCCTAATGCAAGCACTAGTGGCTGCTTCCACAGCTCGAATCTGTGGCCGAAACAATTTTCATGGCCACAAATTCCAAAATGCCTATGACCATTTCCCAAAATGAAATCTGAGGAGAACCATCAACACAGACTCCAATAGACAATTCCTCTCAATATTTTTGTGCTAAACAGCATCAGATTTCAATAAGAATACTCAAGTGTTTCTAGAATCAAGCATAAAAATCTATTGAAAGAAAGGCATTGAAATTCAGCTTTTTTCCATAAAAACTGCACATTTGTATCTTTCCTCTAACAGTTGAGCCAAGGGTCTCCGGAAGCAGCCTCTTGAGCCAAGGGTCTCCGGAAGCAGCCTCTCTACCTTCACAGAGTAGGGGTAAGGTCTACGTACAAACTACCCTTCCCAAACTCCACTTGTAGAATTATACTGGGCATGTTGTTGTTGTTGCTAGTAACTAGATATCGAGTTTAACGTCATGGGCAACACTAAAAACATCCATGGGCAAAAGCAATAACACCAACAAGAGAAACTCATGATCTAAAAGTCACAGGTTCCATTTAATCCACAACCCTGCTCATTCAAGATCACGGTCAAGTTTTTTCTGGAACCAATTTTGTATGTTATGTTATAATATATATTCTCTGTAACAACACTTCGTTATAGGCTATAGCAGCCAAAAAATGTATGCAACAAACGAGGTTGTTATAGAGATGTTTGACTGTACTATGTTACAACTTCAAATGATTGTTTGTATCCGCCCGCCGCCCTCTATTTCTTCTCCACGAAACAAAATTCCACAGAACTTGGACTAAGGAAGAATTGCAACAATCTATTGCAATGACCCTAATAATCGACTTTTGATAGTAAATCATGAGGTGCAGAATATGTACAGAATGATCACAGAGAAGTAAATATCAGAAAGGAGTAGCAACGTAAGTAAAAATGCATAATAGGATTAACCAAAATTTCTATGTAGAAGACGATATCATATTGATATACAAGAATATTAGGTTTAAAGATATACACAACACAGTGAACTCAAATATGGAACTATCGTGTGCTACTTTTATTAGAATTTGATATAAAGATGATACATGTCTGCTGTCCATCAATCAGCAGCAGATCTATCTATCATGAATTCTACAATTATGAAACTAATACAATTACACTTAAAAGGTGTAAAATAAGAACGGTTTCAGGTTGCATTTGATGCATATCAACTAGCGCAGCAAACACTGTCCATCCACCACAAATTCTTCATCGTGGGATCGAATTTGCCCCTTATATAGTATCATCAAGATATGAAAAAAACAAGAAATTGGGGGCACAACAAGCGAGAGATGAGTTAAAATAATCATAAGAATCAAAGTGAACAAGAATTAATTGTCCTACCACACAACTGAATCGAATTGTATCACTGCGCGCTTTTCTTTCCATTACCATAGTAACTTAAGTACCATCGAACGAATTTCTTCAATCCTGTCTGTAGATCCGTGGTAGGCTTATAACCAAGCTCCTTGTGAGCCGAGCTTATATTTGCATGAGTAAACTGCACATCCCCATTCCTTGGCAACTTCATAACCAATCTCTTCGCCTTTACCTTCAACAACTTCTCCAAAATGCTAACAAGATCAGAAACCGGGACAGGGGAAGTATTGCCCAAATTGAACACCCTCAATTGAGCAGGACCTTTCTTCTTCCCACCGCTTCCCGTGCTCTTTTTAGCAGTGTCCAATGCCCCCAAACAGCCCTTCGCTATATCATCAATATAGGTAAAATCCCTTGCAACCGTGCCATGATTAGCCGCCTCAAAGATTGGAATTGATTTTCCTTTCAATATATCCCTAGTGAAAAAGAAGTAAGCCATATCTGGCCGTCCCCACGGTCCATAAACCGTGAAAAATCTCAATCCAGTTATCGACAGCCCATAGATATGATTATAGGTATGAGCAATTTCCTCACCAGCTTTTTTAGTAGCAGCATATAAACTAGCAGGTTGGTCTGTTCTATCCCTCTCTGAAAAGGGTACCTTAGTATTCAATCCATATACAGAACTAGACGACGCCCACACAATCGCAGGTTGAGGATTGACACTTTTGCAAACCTCAAGGACATTAACAAGACCAGCAATATTACTATGCACATATGATCCCGGATTTTCCATGGCGTACCTCACGCCCGCTTGGGCAGCTAAATGCATAACATGAGTAAATGCGACAACTTCAAAAAGTTTCTTTAAGAGGGCGACATCATTGATATCGCCCTCAACAATGTACACACCGGAGCGTTCTAAGAGCTCCTGCCTCGCTCTTTTGAGCGAGGGATCATAATAATCATTGAAATTATCCAAACCTACTACGCCATCTCCGCGACGTTTTAAGGCAGCTGAAACATGTGTTCCTACAAATCCAGCAGCACCAGTCACCAAAACACAAATACCATTTTTTGACCTGATTTTTGCTGAGGATTTAATCTTTTTTTCCCACACTGGACCACCATAAGAGCTGGTTCTAAGAGATCTCCTTGAGAGATCTGAAGAAACATTTGATACAGAATTTGGTGATCTGTAAAAGAATACAAAGATTAACCCCACAAAAACAAGTGACCAAAAAATAATCTTGGTTAAAGAAAATTGTAGCCTAAGCCTATTATAAGGGGATTTTTCAATCTTGTATTTTCCTGGGGTTGATGGAATATTATCAATGTGCTTCATTTGGGACATTATTTTAGGCAAAATCTTGGAGATTAGAGCAATACCCAGATTAGGAATCTCTTATTTTCAACAGAAAACCAGCAAAGTTCTGATTTTTTTCTTGAAAAAGGAAAAAAGCTTAGGGTTAGGGTTTGAGAATTTTTCCTTCTTTTTTTTTTTTTTTTTTTTTTGCCCCAATGAATGATTGATTCTTGATAATGTAAATGGGGATAGGAAAAAGAAAAAGGGGTGGCTAGTATTGAACTTCTAGTCTGCTTTATTTATGATAATCTATCTGGTTTTGGTTCAAAGATGGTGTTTCTATTTTTTTGGTTTTGATTTGTAAAGAAGAAAGATTGATGATTTGATTAAGAAATGATGATTAGTGAGAGAGAGAGAGAGATCTGAGGGAGGGAGAAGAATGAGGTTTGAAGAATTTAAAAAGGCAATAATGAAGATTTGAAGTGGACTAATAGGGTTGGGGGTGGTGGGGTGGGGGTGGGGGTGGGGTGCGGGGAATCAAGAACAAAGTCAAACAGAACGGTAAATTAATGAAATGGATTAGCCTTTTGTATTAAGGTTTTGATTGGAGAGTTTTATCGATGAAAGCTACTAAGGGCTCGTTTTGTACGAGAGATAAAAGATAATTAATTTCGGAATCACATTTATAATAAATTTATCTTACGTTTGGTTGGGATAAAATCACAAGTATAACTAATTCTGGGATTAGTTATTCTGGAATTGTAGTGTACATTTTATCTCTATAGGAAGGTAGTATAACTATCCCGGAATAATTTTACAACCAAATGACCCCTGGTACTCCCTCCGTTCTCTTTTATTTGTCCACTATGAACTTTACACACCCTTTAAGAATTAATAAATGAAGTGTATAATTTACCATGATATTTATATTAATTGATGCATATTTTTAATAGATTTGAGAAAATAATTTGAAATGAATAATTAATACTGTGGGTACAACTGGAAAAAAGAAATTGTCTCCTCTTGATATGCTAAAAGTGACAAGTAAAAATGAAAATTTATTTTTAGAATATTGAACAAGTAAAAGTGAACGGAGGTAGTATATTTTTTAGTTTTTACAAACAACTTATTTAGGGGGGGGGGGGTAGGGGGGGGGGGGTAGGGTAGGAAGAATTGGGAGATGGGAGGAGGGAGATTATTACATTGATTGGTGAGAAAAAAATCCTCAAAATGAGGCCTTAATTTTCATAATTTGTTTACTTTAACAGCTTGTTTGGATGGTTGTTACGTATTGTATCGTATCGTATTGTTATCTTAAATACAATATTTGTTTTGATTGTTACTTAAATTTTATTGTATCGTATCGTTAAATCCGTCGTTACGTAACGATGAAATGTGCCACTTTATGTAACGACCGATTTGGTGTGGTCGCATCGTTTCCTTGTGTTTTTCTCTCAATCTCACCCTTCATTATTATTAAATAATATTATTTTATCATTTACCCTACCTTTTTACCGTATCATAATTTTTCTTTATAATGTTGCAAGTTTATTCATCATATCACAGGTGCGTGATACCATGAAACGATGCCAAAACGACACAATCCATCCAAACATTATATTCATCAAACGATACAGTACAATACAATACGATACGATACGATACATTATCAAACGATACGTCACAACCATCCAAACAAGCTGTAAATATGAGGGGAGATTCTTGATTTTGGTTAAAGAGATTAAGGTTTTGGTGTTTTTGAAGTGTGAGTAAAATGAGGATTGTTTGTTGGAGATGGAGTGGACGAGATTTTGGGGCTAATTATGAGGGGCTACTAATTTACACTTTCATTGGTTGGTGGAAAAAATTTATAGGGATTTGATAATTTTTATATCTTCTTCACTAATTTCAATTGTTTGATAACTATGATGGTGATAGCATGATGCACCGATCCTATAATTAAGGTAAGCTATTTCTTTTTAACTTTTCAATTTATCTTAATAATATTCTTGCAAATTTTGGATTCTTTTCCAATTTTCTGAGGTTATCATGTGAACTTATGCTCACCTCGACTTCTTATCGTCTTAGTACTCCCATTTTTATTCTAATTTTGCGAAATCGAAACAAGTTATTCTTTAACAACCTCATTTTGTTTGCTTCTTATTATCAATATTGATTTGTAGTTTTTATTTACTTAAAAACAAGTTTGACCGTCAATCCAACCCGACTTTCAAAACTCTCTTCTCTTACTTCTCGTTCATATAGTTCAATTAGCTCCTATTGCATAGCCTTATCTGTAACTCACACCTAGTATTTACATCAAAATATATTGGTCGATTATGGTAAGTTATAAATTTGACATGAGAATGAGTTAAGTAATAATATCGATTACATTATGCATATCATGTATTTATTGAAGTGGCATAAATATCAAACTTATTCACACTTAAATGTTTATACCAAATTTGGCTTTGCTTCTATACTTCCCTTTATTGAATTAAAAAGGAAAATAAAAGTAGCTTTAATTACTATTAGGAAATCATGAGTAAATATGTAAGATAGTGTTACGTCCCATATCAAATACAAAGCACATTAATAGTATATAATTTAACTTCTATTTAATATATATTCTGTCTTATAAAAGTCCAAAAAAATAAAACAAGTACAAATCATAATTTTCTCCTCTTTCTTTATCTAATTTAAGTTAATTCCGTAGTCTAATATGCTCGAATACTTTGAGAAAAATAAGTGCCTTGGTGCTATAATGCTCCAAATACGTTGTCATTATGGTTTTCCTCTTTCCAAGAGTGGCTTATTTCTTACTTTTTACATCAAATCATAGCAATAATTTTTTAAAAGAAGAAACCTTATAATGGTTTTTAAGAATCATTAACGCATGGCAATTATAAATTAGAAGTATGTTTAGTACGGGTTAAAATATTTTATAATTTTTTATTTTTTAGTGTTCAATCTATGAATTGTAAAAAATAATTCCTTTTCATTGAAAATATCTGTCATTTGGCTGGAGTGACTTGCAATAATCAATAATATTAGTTCTAAGGTTTCACCTAAATAATTTTGATGAAAACAAAGAGAGAAACACTTTGAGCATAGCGTCTAGCCTACCACCACGAGTTATGGTAAAATGAATAGGACCCCTCAAATCTTAATCAAACGTCTCGTATCGAGCCCAAAGAATGATTTTTTTTTTTTTTAAATAGGGAGCCTTGTCGTAAATGGTAAAGTTGATGTCATGTGACCAGGAGGCCACGGGTTCCAGGGGCGTACGCAAGAATTTCTGTAAGAGGTGTCGAAATTTATAGAAGAACTGGAATATAACTTTGCTTATCATACTTTTAGACAAGAAATAGCCTTAGTATATTGATTTTGTTGAGTCTTAAGTTAGAAAAGGTCCTGAGTTACTGTCATGTGACCAGGAGGTCAAGGGTTCCAGGGGGGTACGCAAGAGTTTTTGTAAGAGGTGTCGAGAGGTCCTGAGTTCAATTATACTTCATCACAATTTTTAACAACACATGCTCTCTCAAATATTTGTAAAAGAAAAATGTGTTAGTTAAGGTTTGAATCTTTGACCTCTTAGAGCACAATCAAGCACATAACCAACACACCAAGACACAATTTATGTCAAATTGCATCATTTTTTCCTACTTATCCGTTTTCGTACAGTATTAATACATATATTTAATAAAAAATTCCGACGAAGCGGTGTCGCGTGACACCGCTTAGGCAAGCGTGCATCCGCCCCTGATGAGTTCGAGCCGTGGAAACAACCTCTTGCAGAAATGCATGGTAAGGCTGCGTACGATAGACCCTTGTGGTCCGGCCCTTCCCCGGACCCCGCGCATAGCGGGAGCTTAGTGCACCAGGTTGCTCTTTTTTTAGAGAGCGTTTCCGCTTCGAGATGAATCAGACTTCAATACAAATATCTGACATCGGGCTTTCACGAGTTATGGTGAAAAAAATGGGAGAAATTCAAAAATAGCCACATTTACAAGTGGTCATTCAAAAATAGCCACAGTTTCAAAAGTAATCGAAATTTAGCCACTTTTCATGTAAAGATAAATCTGAACGAAAATACTGTTCAAAATTCGGAAAAATACTCCAGTATAATATACCGGTCCAGCATAATATACTGGAGAGTGGAGTACCGGTGCTCCAATCTCCAATATATTATACTGGAACTTTCCACGTGTTGGAGTTCCAGCATAATATGCTGGAAATTCATACACAGGTGCACTGATTTCCAGTATATTATGCTGGAACTTTTCGTGTTGTAGCAAAATAGTGGCTATTTTTCAATGACTTTGCAAATATTGGCTATTTTTGAATGACCAGTCCGAAAAATGGCTAGCCCGTGCTATTTTTACGAAAAAATATTATTTTTGTTGTTATTTTTCTTCTTTGATAGGGAATATTTAGCCTTTAAAATTGATAACCATGAATAGAAGTTACTTATACAACTTGTAATTGGAGAAACAAGATTAGGTTATTTTTTGGTAAAACAAAAAAAGTCGTTTCACTATCTTATTTATTGAAAACGAAAGAGGCTAATAAACGAGTGACAAAAGAATATGCTTCCCATTATGAAATGCTTTGGTACCTATTGATAAGGACAATATTGTTTGTCTAATATTTGATCTTTTCACTTCCTTCCACATTGCTTTTGTTCTCTTCCCAAAGACCATAAAAAAATAAAGAAATTAAAAATGTATCCAAAATAATTTTCACTAGCCAACCAATTACTTAAAAAATAAGTGGAAAATCACTTACCTAAAGAATAATTTTTTTTTAAAAAAAACTCCATTTGTTTCAAAAATCATTTTCTGTGGTATCAAACACACTTGAGCAGAAAGTGATATCCATATCTCAGCCATGACTTTGTTTTCGATTCGGGGACACAGTCATGTGAGAGTCACATATTAGTTTGAGGTATTTAATACGCCAAACAAACTTGAAAAAAAGGCAAATGATCCTCCTTTTTAACAGCAAATTTGGAGTTTTGTGAATTAGATCCATTGCTTCCGACTAAAATTATATATATTTATACAAAACAAAGTTTATATATAT